GAAGACAAGGCATTTTAAGACACGAAGATAAACAGCCAGGCTGGGATTTTTCCTTTGAAGTCATAGAAAAGAAAACTAAGTATTAATTTGAACCCTCAGACTTTCAAATCTAAGAATCCACAATGTAAATTTCCCATGGCCACAAACAATGGCTGCCAGCTCCCTGGAGAGAGGCGCTGTTCTGCAGATTTCACTTAGGCTAAGTTCATGATGGCTACTTTTCATCCTTCCTCAGCACGTGGGCAAGAGATGAAGAGGTGGCCCATGCAAGGTCCTATTGGTCACCACATTGGTATCAACAGCATTTTAAGGGTTCAGGAGTAGAGCAAATTTGGGGTCCGCGAGGACCTCATAGGCCATTTGGGTAAAAGCTTGATTTTGAGTCTCCCAGACATGCAAGAGACCAAAAGGCATTAGGGTCATGTTCTTTTTCCTCAGCACCTTACGCCACATATCCTGACTTTCCTGACTGCACTTCAGACCTCCTCCCTGCTCCTGGGCCTACCACTGTGCTGCAGCTATCTTTCCTGGTGTCCATCTTTGGGGCTACCAAGTCCAGCTGTTTTGTGGTGGGGAAGCTGTCCCAGAGAATAAATGATTCTCTCCAAGAATCAAACAGTTTACCAAATGGTACCAGCTGCAGGGCTTCTAGGAAAGAATTCCTTTCCCAGCTTGTTAAATCCCCTAATTGGAAAGTGAATTCTGTACAGGCAGACTATCCATTGAGAGAGCCCACGTGACTGGGTTTCTGGAAAGTTCTGAGGCATGTGTTCTAATGCCACCCTTGATCGTTAAAATGGGCTTTCTGAGGGACCTATCCTCCCTTTCCAGCATGAATAGTCATATTTGGGGCTTACCTGGCTAGTACTCTATCGGTGTAGTTGGAAGGTGTGCTGAAATTGACTAGTAATGTCTGCCAAGGGTAGAGGAAGGGGCGGCAATGATAGAGACATTACACATTCACGCTCCTTGGTCTAGATCTTCATTCTTCTACATCCGTTATACACAGACCTTTCTAGGCCCTCATCTCAATGAGCTTATTGCTCTGCCCACATGGCCCACTTTTACTAAGCACATACCAAGTCTGACTTTCAGGACTTAAGGGCAGGACGTGGCATCATGTGTAGGATTGAGAAGTAGCCCAAGGGTTCTGAGAAATCTATCTGGGGGAGCCAGGGTGACACCTGCACACATAGGGGGGTTGCTGGGGAATGCTAGAGTGTGAGTGGTATCCCGGGGCCTCCTGACGGGCCCTGATTTGAAGCAGGGTCACGCAGGTGTATTACTTCAGATGAGGTCACACTTGAGTAATGGGATGTGATAGGTAACCTTGACTGTCAACTTGACAGAATTTAGAGATACTTTTCAAGGGATCAGTGAGGTACCTCTGGGTGTCTGTGATGACGTTTCTGAAGACAGTTTGATATCTCTGACCTAATCTACAATGAGGCCCTGGATGGTTTCACAATGCCACACTTAAGGGCAGGAGGTGGGTCTCAGCTGAAGGAAGTGGGCCGGTGGGGACATGGCCATAAGACATTTTACCCTGACCCCTCCCTGTATTGCTCTCTCTCATTCTCTCCTTCCTATTTGCCATGAGGAACCCCCTATTCATCCTCATCCACCACGATGAACATGCTCCCCCTCCTCACCTTCACACCATGATCAAGGTCTGCCTCAAGACAGGCCCAGGAACACAGAGCCAGGCAGCTACAGACTGAGCCCTCTGAAACTGTGAGTCAAAATATATAATAATTCCTCCCTTATGTTGCTTCTCTGAGGCATTTGGTTAGAGTCACAAGAAAAATAACGCATACACAGTGTCCCGGTTCATCAAGACTGGGACCACACAGCAGAGCCACACAAAGATAGAGATGCAAGGAGACCAGTGTGGCCGGTAGGGACAGAAGTAGAGGCTGGAGAGGCTGTGCTCCTATAAGACAAGGGGTGTTGAATTCATCACGTGCCAGCACGTGTCAGGAGGCAGCAAGCAAACTCTGGCAAGTTCTGATGGGATGGACATTTTGTTTTGGACTTTGGACTGGCAGGATGGTAGAAAGCCTCTTGGTGTGTGGTAGTTTGCCACAGAAGCCAACATGGCGGCAAAGGGAGGCTTGGCTTTACCAGGATCACTCTTGCGACAAGACCAGTTGCCAGGAGGGTGGATGGTGTGATGAAGACTGGAAAGACACACAGGAAGGGTCTGTTTGGGGACTCAAGCTGGGGGCCAGTGTCACCTTCAGGGTCTTGGCACAGAACTGAAGGATGACTTCCCACAACGCTCATGCTGAGTCTTTCCCCAACATCTCCTGGTGAAGCCCTCAACATCACACCCACAGAAAGCATCTTTGAAGAGATCAGAGGGGTAGGACCCTAAGCAAGGAGAAATACGGTGTTCTTAGTAATCATATAAAAAAAAAAAAGACACCAGAGACAAGAGAAGGCAAGGAGGCACGGTAGAGACCCCCAGATCTGGGAGAAATGAGTGTGTGTTGTTTAAGCCAGCCTGTGTCTGTGCTAGCATCGCCGGCTGATCAAGGCAGCCTTGAAGTCTGGCTAGCCAGGCATCCTGCACCTCGGATGCTGAGACATGACACTGCTGCCTAAGAAGGAAGCCACCAAACAACACCGAAAAGCCAAAACAAAAACCCCTTAATGTTTTCCATACGCTGCTCACATTCACAGCTGTTGTGGGGTGCAGGCAGTCTGTGGACGACAGTTGACACATCTGATAGCTCACAATAGCCTCAGGGGCTTGATTCACGGTGCTGGCAGATACAACGCCTGGCCGGGGCCAAGCTGCTGCTTGTCCCTTCTCAGCTTTTGCACCTCTATAGGCTGCGTGCATCCCACAGCCTCCGGTCCCTTCTACTCTGGTTGGTTATTCATCAGTAAGACAGCCCACTGTATCATAAGTCAGCCATGTTGGCCCCTGACCAAGCAGCAATATATTTTGACTCTATGGGTTCTGGAGTTTCTCTTGCAAATAATCTTGTCATTGCTGGGGATAATATGGGACTGATGGAAAATCTGAATTGCATCGAATTTTCCTGATCCTATTTTTCTTTTTTAGATTATCTTTTCATCCTCAGTGACAAAGGATGTAAAAACCACTTTGCAGCCTGGCGCTCGATGACCCCAGGTTAAGTGTCTGGCACTTGCTTGATGTGTGCACCTCTGGTGACCACGTGCAGCTAGGGACAAGGGCTATGGGCGATGAGGGGGGGCTGGCTTTGTGCATATTTGGGGAGCTATGCAGTGTGTGAACGAGGGCTGGGAGGAGCCAAGTCTCCTAAATTTACAAAAATTACTTTTCAAGACAAGGTCTTATGAAGCCCAGGCTGGCCTCAAACTCACTACATAGTCAAGGATGACTCTGAGCTTCTGAAGCTCCTGCTGCTAAGTGTATGGGACTTAGGCATGCACCATGATATCTGGTTTGTGTGGTACTGGGGATGGAACTCAGGCCTTTCTGGAATTAGGCAAGAACTCTATCCACCTCCTGACTTGAGTATCCTGAATATAGCCGCCTACCTAGCAACACCCATCTAGCATTCCTATTGGCCAAGAAGTCAGGATGCTACCGGGAACAAGGGGACCGAGCACTGGACAAGCTGATTTTCCCCCTCTGACCAGTAAGAGAGAACATGAGCAGAGCCCAAGGGGCCACTTGGAGTCTCTGGTTTAGCTCTGGGGATGGAGACACAGGAGATGTCTGCAGACAAGGCTAGAAAGGACTTGTCACCTCTAAAAACCTGTGCCTTGAAGGATTTGCAACATGAGGCAGGGACAGAAGCCATTTGAAGTTAGTGGAGTGGGTAGCTGGTGTGATTGTACAGAGCGAGGTGCTGGACGGACCTGCAGTGAAAGGGGAAACGCATCTAACGACTCGGCTCCTCTCCTCTTTTGTCTCAGTGCAGGGTAGAAGAACAGATCAGGTTCAGAGGCTTCCTCGGGGAACACACTGAAGTTCTTTATCCCAGGATTTAAGTGTTTGCACAGCAAGGGGCTGCTGGCAGGCCAGGGCCTGTTAGGGGAGGAAGGGAGGAAGCCAGGGAGGGATGGAATCTGACCTGAGGCACAGGTCTCAGTGGATGTGGAGGTGAGGAAGGAGCAAGAGTGAAGAGGTGACACCTGACCCAGACCTAGGCTCAAGGGACCCAGGTACCATAAGCAGAGGAATGGCTTAGGAGCCAGGAAGGCTGGGGGTCTCCATGTACCATTCAAGTCCTGAATCACAAATGGGTCTTCAGAAATCCTATGCAGCCCAGGCTGTCCTCGAACTTGTTATCCTCCTGCCTCAGCCTCCACAGTGGCAGGACTACAGGTAGGCTGGCACCACCCTTTTGGTTTTTTAAGTCTGTGATCCTTCACAGAGTCATGGACCCAGTGCAGGACAGAGCCCTGGGAGCTAGGTGACTAGTCAGTAAAGAGATGTAAAGAGATGCCTTCCTCTGATGTCCCTGGGGAACCTGAACTGTGAAGAGATCTCCCTCTCTGGCCTCACTGGGTCATTGTTGGCAAACAGTGGAAGCAGATGAGCGGCTTCCAGCGCCTAGAGACACTTCTGGTTCCCAGTGGTTCAGCCCTCCCCGGCCCTCTCTCTTCTCTTACTTCCTCTCTTGATACAAAGGCATGTGACAGACTGAAGTTTTAGGGACCAAAGAGGTCCTGATGGGATTAAAAAGAAAGGAGGAACTAAATTCTAGGTGTTTAGTATGTTGCTGGGGCAGGTCTCAGCGCAGCCCTGATCACAAGGATGGGTTCCAGAGGGGGCTTCTTAGAGGAGAACGCAACTCCAGATAAGAGTGGTCCTTAGAGATACCGGAGCCCTGGGACATGAGTGAACATGTGTAAAATGTCTCCAAGAAGCATGAATGCCGAGACAGAGACACAGATGTCACCAGGATAGAAATGTTCACATGGAAGCAGCTTTGTGTGGGGCCCTAGGTCCCCTGACGCATTGCAAAGAGGGAGCTTTGCAATGGGGTTTGAAGGCTTGAGGGTCTCTCTTGAAGTGTGACCACTGTCAATCAATCTTCCTGTTTTGCAAGCAGGCTTGGCCCCAGGGTGCTCATCCAATAGGGCCACCAAGGAAGGGGACAATTCTGGATGTTTGTTTGGATTTCTCTATCCTGCTTCCTCTGCTAGTTCTCTGCTTGGGGACAGCTTTTCTTCTCGCATCAAATCTGATCACTGGGGACGGGCTTTGCAAACATGATCCGTGACCTCAGGGCACTCCCTTCAGTTCACTCTGTACCATCTCTTCTCAGCAACCCTCAGATGGGGTACTGTGGTGGGGGAGGGGTGGGGCAGAGCAACATAGACCAGAAGTACTTCCATCTCCAGCGGGGAGAGAAAGACAACATGGCAGATGGGCTGAGTGGGCAGAATAGGTGGGCGGCACAGGGCCACAGGGCCCTGAGTGGGGAATCCACTCGGAGGACTCAGCACCAGGCCAGAGCAGAGACCACGGAAGCTCCACACATGCCTCCCCTCCTCAAGCCCTGGCAAGGAACGCAGTGGGTGAGAGTCAGGGAGAACTTTGTAAACAGCTTTCCGCACACCCATGCAACCCACTATGCCTACCCAGGACCTGTATCCATCACTGTGGGAGAACCAACTCCAGCAGTGTCAGTGCCGAAGAGAATGTACCAGAACCCTCTTCCCACAGCCCCAGTTCTCAGGCCTCAGACTTTGGGGGTGCCATGAATGACAGCCCACTATAAAGGACCCCCAGATGTCCTATCGACTGAGAAGCCATGGTGTTCTCCAGTTGCCCAGGCGAGGGTGGGCAGTGAGTTGAGGCAGGATGATGTTCTCACAAAACAGGATGAAGGTGAAGCAGAAGGAAGGTCCCCAGAGAGCCCCCCGTGCTAAAAAGACACAGAGAACTGCCTAGTGTCCTTCGGGGCTGTGTACCCAGGGGCCAGCAGTCACTTCCAGCTTGGAATGGAGGTTCACAAGCTTAGCCCACCTCTCCCCACTCTGACCTTGGCCTGGGAGCCTTGACTCAAGGGAGCAGGCCTGTCGTTCCTGCTTCCATCCCTGTCCTGTGTCTGGGATAGCACAGCTGGGACACTCCATAGCTGGGCAGGCTTGTCCGGGTGCAAAGAAAGCTGGAGGCCCCGTCCACACAGAGACACGTGTGCGCGCACGGGTCCTGCGAGAGAGTCTGTCCACAGGGCCTGTGCCTTTGTCTCCATAGCCCGGAGGTGTGGTGTTCAGTCAGCAGCTCTCTGTACCGTGCACTGGACCCTCACTGGTCCAGTTTGATCCTAGCTCAGGGGTCCCTGATACTGACTGAGTAAAGGGGTGCAGGTCCAAGATGTTGTCAGCCTCCGTGGTCTTCACGTCATCACACAGGTCTCCCAGGCTGGCTGTGTCGGGACCCCCTGGTGGTGAGCTGGGGCCTCCCGAGGTGGCAGAGGGCAGAGCAGGGAAGAAGAGGCGGTTTGGGGGTGATGCTGGCCCATGTCCATGGTCACAGTCTGGAAGGGAGAGAGAAGAAAGGGTGGATAAGAAAGATGTGGGTCCCATCATGCCATCTTTTGTATGCGAACCCCTTGTCAGAGAGTGCCTTCCGGTGGGCTCCTGTCTTTTCCAAGCAGAAGGGGCTTCTACGGACAAAGGCCCTACTATGTATTGAACTCTGGACTGACTGTGGCCTATTCCCGACTTCATTTTAGCCTGGAGGGGTTTAGCTGTGAGCATTTTGTATCCCTTTTCCAAATCAAAGCTGAGGATCAGGGAGGTTATGCACTTTGCCTATGGGTGCACAGCTAAGAAACATCAGGGCCAAGATTTGAACACAGAACTCGCTCACTACAGCAGGTAGTCCAGTGTGTAGGCTTGGAGAAGTTTGACACACTGCTGATGTGAGAACAGACCTGCATAGCAGACTTTAGTGACATTGGCAGACTCTTATGATTACGCATGTCCCTTTTAGCATGGGCTCTGATTCCAACACAGGCGTTCAACACACACAGGATGAATCACGATAAAATGTAATGGAAAATTCCACAGGATTTCTAGCATCGTGGGACACAGGACCATAACTTATCCTGTATCTTTAGTCTCTTCAGTCTGTGTCTAGAGAAGAACCGAGAACACAAGGCTTCCTGCCTCCTCCTTGCCCCATCAGTGAGTTCAAGCCCTTCTGCCCAGGGGCCACTGGGTGCTGGCCCAAAGGACCTTTGAGCGTTACAGCCCCAGACAAGCTGGGCACTCTTAGAAGGCAGAGACGCCCGTCTGAGCTGCCTCCTGCCTGCTGATTACATGGCTGACCCGAAGTGTTACCAGGCAGCCAGTCCAAGGCTGTTATTCCCTCCTAGCACACAGTGGTGACCAGGGCAGAGTGAACACTGGTTGTCAGAGGTGCCTCACAGTATCCCTGCTATGGGGTTCACTGCCCTCAACGTTCAGAGCATGGAACTGTAGCTCAGAGAAGCCAATGGCTGTGCCCAAGTCACAAAGCTATCAGTGGCAGGGAGGAAATTCCAACCTGTGTCCCCTGATTGTGAACTCGGCATTCTTTCTAATTGCCCAGGAGATGGGTGGGCCCCTGGGGTGAGAAGAGAAGAGAAGAACAGAGGCAGGGCTGTCTCCACACACCCATCTCCTGGGACCTCGAGGGTCGTCATGGGGACCCATGGGGTCCCCACATCTACACATCTGTGTGCAGACATGCCTGGTGAGCAGACAGGACAATGTTAAGTGTGGGTGTGCATGGGTCCTCATGTGCCATGCAGTATCTCTGTGTAACGTCTCATGTTTGTAGTGAATTTGCCTACATGAGCGGGCTTTAGGGTGTACTTCCATTCAGTGCTCCTATGTACGGAGGTGTGTGCATGACTGAGCGCCTCTCTCTCTCTCTCTCTCTCTCTCTCTCTCTCTCTCTCTCTCGTGTGTGTGTGTGTGTGTATGTATGTGTGTAGATTTGTGTGGAGTCTGTGTTCACATGTGTGTGTATACCTGAGCTTGTGTGAGCTCACCTGGCAACAGGAAATGGGGCCCCCTCAGCAGCCTCCCTCTCACCTTCCAGGGAGAGCCATCACGGTGGCTGACCTGGGGAGGGGACTGCGGGGTGAGATGCACGTTCCCGGTCTTGGGAAAGCAATGGATCTACAGTTAAGGCAATGGCAAGGAGGGGCATCGACCTTCCTAAGAAGGAAGCAGCTGCAGAGGAGGATGCACAGCTGGGAGCCCTTCCTGTCTTGGACTTTTGCAATGGAGGATGCTGGGAGCTGAGATCTGCCACGAAGGGGGCAGGTGCTGGCCCAGGTAGGAGGGGCCCTGCCAGTCAGGTTCCACAGAGGAGCCCCCAGTCACACCACAGCTGCTTAGACTGAGACATCATCTGTCATCAGGAAGAAATAAGCCAGAGGCCACTGTGCCAGTCACAAGCAGACTCCAGGGCCCCAGTGTCATTACAGGCTCCCCTGAACAGATGTTGGTAGAGAAGTGTGGTGCCTGGGTGCTGGGTTCATGGAGTCAGGTGGGCTGAGGAAAGGGTTGGAGGAGGAGACCAAAAAGGAGACAAAGATTAAAGAGTAAAAGGTCAAAGGGTAAGGCAGTGGGGAAGATACTGAGGGGAACACATACTCTGCAGACTTCCAGAAATGCCCGGGGTGCGAGAGGCGGCGGTTTCGCTTTGGCAGTTTCTCTAGCATGTCCATGAGCTTGGTGAAGGTGGGCCGCTCTTCCTGTTCAAAGGCCCAGCAGAAGAGCAGGATATCCTAGAAGAAACCAGTGAGCCATGAGGGGACCTAAGAAGGGACTTTATTGAGTCCTCATCTAAGCCTCAGTACCTGGGCATTGCTCTGGGGCTGGCCATCCGTCCATCCTTCTGCCCACTTCACATCCCTCCATTATCCACCCTTCCATCCACTTACTCAGCATCCACCCATCTACTCAGTAGCCACCATCCATCTACCCCTCATAAACATCCCACCACCTACCCATCCACACACTCACCCATCTACCCATCCATCCATCAATCTGCCTATCTATACATCCAACCACATCAAACTCAACCATTTATCCTTCATCTAGCATCTACCATTCATCTATCACCCATCCACACCACCACCCATTCACCAAAATACACCCATCCATCCATTCATCCATCCATCCACATGAACCCATGCTTCTTCATTTACCACCCATCCATCCATATATCCATCCATTCATTCATCCATATATCATCCATCCATCTATCCATTCATCCCTCCATTATCCACCCTTCCATCCACCTACTCAGCATCCACCCATCCACTCAGTAGCCACCATCCATCTACCCCTCATAAACATCCCACCCATCTACCCATCTACACACTCATCCATCTACCCATCCATCCGTATCTACCTACCCATCTACCCATCATCCAATTGCCAGCTACCAGCCACCTACCCACTCATATATACAGACATCCTATGCACCCACCCACCCATCCTCATTAACTACCACCCACCTACTTGCTATATACACAGCCATCCTACTCATCCATCCATCAATCTGCCTACTATCTATACATACAACCACATCAACTCAACCATTAATCCTTCATCTAGCATCTACCATTCATCCATCACCCATCCACACCACCATCCATTCACCAAAATACACCCACCCATCCATCCATCCATCCATCCATCCATCCATCCATCCACATGAACTCATGATTCTTCGTTTACCATCCATCCATTTATACACATATAAATTATCTACTCTCTCATCTATCTATCTATCTATCTATCTATCTATCTATCTATCTATCATCTATCAATCATCTATCTATCTACTCAACACCAGATATCTCTCACTCGTCATCCACACAAGATTCCATCCAATTATCCATCTAGCTACTGTCCACAAAGCATGAATCCTCATACATTCACTTATTTCTCTTCTTCTGCCATCCCTCTACTCACCCATTCACTTTATCCCCCATTCTCTCCCCTCCCCTCTTCTCGTTTACTTGATTAGCCATTCTAGTAATCTGGGGAGGCTCATGGCAAGGAGGCCTGAGATGTATGGAGACCAATAGCAGCTCAACGGAGTTTCTTGACATTTTTCTTGAACATGAGGAATAGAAGGAAATCCTAAAGTCTCTAACTACATCCCACTCGATTAGCAAATGCCCCTCAAAGTTACAGAGGAGAAAGGCCAATTTCCACCATATCATTGTCCAGGAAGAGGAGTCTGAGGGCAAGTGGTCGTGTTAAACACCTGAGGGAATTACTGCTTCTCCAGCTTACCTGTTTTCTGACCAAAAGAGAGGATTCTCCCCAAGAGTGTTCATTTATCATTAGGTTTCTTGGTGTCCGATTAGCGTACTCTGAGTTAGACAACGGTTTAATACTGTTGTTGGACACAAGTAAAAATGAGTGCTAATACTGTTTGTGATATTTTGGTGGCTATTTTTTTAAAAAGTAACAAACCAGGTATTTGCTGATTTTTATCTGAAGCAGCAATCCATTTCAAGGAGGGCGATCAAGTGTTATTGCGCCCCTGGTGTCAGGTATCTGGAATTGCAGGCATAGTGCTGAGCATTTGCCCTAAATTTGCCTTGCTCCAAGCAAGTCACTCCCTGGGAAAGTCTCTATAGCTGTCACACACAGGATCAAAAAAATCCCAGGACTGTGTCTGCTTCTCTCCTTGTCCCCCAGACACAGCCTCTCGTGGGACTTACCGAGATTTCTTTTCCCATGCCAATCTGGCTGAGGTTGGGTTTCATGCCTGCGCCCATCTGCCAAATTATTGCCTCTGCTGGTTGAGTCTTGAATGGCCACTCCCTGGCGTGGAGCTCATACCAGATGGTGCTGTCAGGCAGTGGACACAGTTAATGAGGCATTGCTGTGGTGTGTCACTTGCGACCCAGGAACCCCCCTCTTCACCCACTATACAAACAGTGGTAGCCTCCTGGCTAGTCATTCCCTTTGCAGTCTCTCCCCAAGGGGCTGCTGCTATGTCTAAAACCCTCTTGAAGTTAGTCATTAGGTTTGTTGCCCCAGAATACTTTGACTGAGGCCAGGATGGATACAACTCTGCCTGAATCATTTAACACAAGGTGGCAGCCATTTCTGACCTTGTACTCACAACTCGAGGAAACAACTGCTTTGGATACTTTATTCACGAGGTTGCTCTCTATGGCCTTACATAAAATACCGACAAGGATACATACAGCCTAACATCTCAGTAGTAACCAGCAGATGTATGTACTATAGCAACTCCTTAAAATGAAACAGCGCCACATTATCTTGAGACTATTTGCAAGACGTTTTGCTGGCATGAAAACTCCTCAGTAGGTCATTCCAGGTGTGGAAAACGGGATGAGGAGCGTATGCAGGTCTTTAAAAATCACCACATATGCATGGAGGGGGAAGCTCATGTAAGCCAACAACGTGCCGATGAGGAGCAGGGGGAGGGGAGCCTTGACTCCCATAGCTGCTCATGGTGAGGATGAATCACAGTGTGGACCGGCAGAAAAAAGCATGTAAAGACTGTGACGTGATGCAGACAGGCCTGAGTCTACATTAGTGGGAAGACGTGGTGCCAGCCACGCCCCTTCTCTCTGTGCCCATGGAAGGGTGGCTATGTGGGACACCGAGCATCTGGACACAGTGCTAGGATTACGCCACGGATATTTGCCATGCCGCACGTCCCATAAATCACAACGATGCACTATAGGGAGAAAGGGTGCCAGTGGAGAGCTGGCTGCGGACGGGGTGATGCCCGGCTGGCACATAACTGCCAACATGAAGCACCATCAGTGATGAGGATAGTGGCAGATGACTTTGGGGAGGCTCGCATGTCACTGTGGCCAATGATCTGTGTTCTCTAAGAGGCAGGTCTCTCATCTCAGGAAATACCACAATAAAAATGTTTCTTCTTCCACAAGGAGACCTCTGGGCTTCCTTACCCCTCTCTTTTCCTGAAACAGGTGTTCTCTGTATAGCCCTGGCTGTCCTGGAGCTCCCTTTGTAGACCAGGTTGGCTTCGAACTCACAGAGATCCGCCTGCCTCTGTTTCCCAAGTGCTGGGATTAAAGGCGTGCGCCACCACCACCCAGCTTCTCTGGGTTTTCTTTAAGGAACACAAAGTCACTCTGGCACTCTCTTGACTGGCCAAGGATGGTGTTAACTCAAGTCTTCATAGGCAAGTTTATTTTATTTAAAATTCTGTTTTATTTTTAATGAAGTGTGTATGGCGGGGTACATGCCCATCACCGTGGAGGTCAGCAGAGGGTGTCAGATATACTGGAGCCACAGTTGTGAGCTGACTGGGTGTGTGCTGGGAACTAACCCTTAGACTTCCGCAAGGGCAGCAAGTACTTAGCCATGAAGTCCCAGATGGCCTGCAACTCACGGAACCACCTCTCTAGTCCCTAGGTGTGCTGACCAAACCTGAGCTGAACACGGACAACAGCAACAGTTAAAGTGGTCAGGGGAAAGCCCGGGAGGCCTCAACCCCACACAAAGAATACAGCAACTAAAGCATACCGAGAGCAGGAGAAATAGTCTACCCCGGGGAAGAGCACACCAGTTGGTAATCCAATACCAAGTGGTCAGCCCTGAAAACATGCAAGTAACATTATACAGGCTGAACAGGTTATACTTAAGGATATGGATGTATGTGTGTGTGTGTGTGTGTGTGTGTGCATGTGTGAATAACAATTAATGGGAAAAAGAGGCTATAAATTTGTAAGACATTAAGGCGTGCTGCACGTGAGGGTTTAGAGGGAGGAAAGGGAAGGGAGAAGTGATGTAATTATATTATAATCTCAATTTTTAAAGTTAAAATAAATAAATAAATAAATAATACAATAAAAATATCTTTTCTGTGTTTTATTTTCTTTGTTGCTCAGGATGGAACCCAGCGTCTCACTCATGTTATGGTTATGCCTTAAGTTTTACGGTTAACAAACTCAATCACTGGCTTCAATGTAGAAGCATGAAGCTCAGTTTGATTGACAGTCTTCGGAGGGATTCGGGTTTGGTCTGGTTTTTAATTGCTGTGTGAGAACCCAGGGCCTTGTACATGCTAAGCAAGCCTGCCATGCTGAGCCTCATGCCTAATGCTCAGTGTGTCTTTTTATCCCAGTGCTTTGATGAGCTGGCGACTTGCTAGCCCTGGTGGGCCATCCCTGCCTAGGGGAGCCGACTCCTGCAGACAAGAAGGGACTGAACCGAGAGTGTGCCTTGCAAAACAAACCAATGGACTCAGAACATCCTGACCAGCTGTTCACCATGTCTGCTCCCCAGTTCCTCCATCCAGAGCCCAAGAAATGATTCCAGTGCACTGACTGCGTTTCACTCTCTTTCTTGTGACCTGTGTTCATGTGGGCACATGCATATGTGTGTCTGTGCTTATGTGCCTATGTGCACACGCATGTGGATGCCAGAGGTCAACCTCAGGTGTCATTTCGTAGGTATGTTCCCTTTGTTTGCTTGAGACAAGGTCTCTCTATGTAGCTCTTGTTGGTCTTGAACTTACTATGAAGACCAGACTGGCTTTGAACTCACAGAAATCTGCTTATTTATGACTCCCAAGTGCTGGGATTAAAGGTGTGTACCACCACCCAGCTTGTTTTGTAAGACAAGGTCTTTCCCTGGCCTGGAACTCATCAGTTCATCCAGACTGGCTACTGAGCTCCAGGGACCCACCTGTCTATTCTTCCCCAGTGCTGGGACCACAGGCATGCACTACCATACCCAGTGTTTTATTCAGGTCCCCACATTTGCACGCTGCACACTTAGGACTGAGCCACCTCCCCTGTTCCTGCAGAGGTTTTATTAAGCTTAATCTGGAATAGAGAGAAGCAAGACTTTGAGTGTGGTTCACTTCCAGGTCTGTGGGCTGCTGTGTTCCCCTGAACAGTACAGAATTAGGGTGGCCCTGGTCTGGACCCGGGCTCTGCCACCAGCTGCCGCACAGTTTGTCACAGCCATGTGGCCTCGCCCTTCTCACCGGTCGCTCCAGGATAGCATGCCCCCCGCCTGAGAAGGTGTTTGGGAAGACAGTATGCTACCACACACATGAAAAGCTCAACGCAGCCCTCAGTACATTTCCGCCAGCGTCTTTATGCTCTAACTCATTCCTGAACATGAGGTTCCCTGGCAACGGGATGCTCCTAATTGGCGGGAGTCCGAGAGCACGGGGTCCATCGCGATCCAACAGTGTCACCAATAAAAGGCTCATTAAAACCTCCTTCCTAACACAACTTTTCAGAGAAGGATTCACTTTGAGGAGTGAAAAAAAGAAAGCTACAGAGGAAAGCTGTGGCGAGAAACCAATTACTTACTCCAGTACAGTTTGTTAATTACATTTTTTTCTTTCGTTAAATTCACGATAAAAATAAACCAACTTAATTACTGTAATTTGGTTCCAGATAATGATATCTAACTAGATAAAGATTTGGGAATTAACTAGTTAGACCAAGTGATGGCTTCTCAAGGGACTCAAATGATGGGCTCTGAGGATCTAGATCTTCTTAAAATGCACAGTCGGGGACCCACCGCGAGGGCACAGTGGGGGGCTTTTCTACCGGAGATGTGCCTCAGGGATGACAGGTCTAATTGCACAAATCTACAACCTTGCAGCTTCCTCGGTCAGTGTCTCTCCACTCTTCAAATCCATCCCATAAGTAAGCCACGGATCATTATGGCTATTTATGGGCTGGGGACAGCTATTTCCTGGCTGCATTTTCTCATCTGTTGTTGGTGGTGTGTGTATATGCATGTATCATATGTGCTCTTGTGTGTATGTAAATTCAACCTAAATATACATGCACAAGTATGTACAAATATATGGAGATCAGAGAGCTTGCTGGATATCTTGCCTCAATTTCTTGCCACCTTAGTATCTTGAGGTAGGGTCTCTCGCTGGGCCTGGAATCACTAATTCACCATCAAGCTCTAGGGACCCACCTGTGTCTGCCTTCCCAGCACCCAGCCACCCAGCTCTTTACACCACAGTCAATAGGGTTACAAACTCAAGTCTTCATGCTTGCATAACAAACACTAACTGCTGACTGAACCACCTCCCTAGACCCTTCTTCTTCTTCTTCTTCTTCTTCTTCTTCTTCTTCTTCTTCTTCTTCTTCTTCTTCTTCTTCTTCTTCTCCTCCTCCTCCTCCTCCTCCTCCTCCTCCTCCTCCTCTTCCTCCTCCTCTTCTTCCTCCTCCTCTTCTTCTCCTCCTCCTTCATTATTATTATTATTATTATTATTACTTATTTATTGAGAGAGTCTTAGTCTGTATCTCCAGCTAGCCTACAAACAAAGTGGTTTTCCTGCCACAGTCTCCTGCATGCTGGTTACAGGCACACCATCCTGCATATTATTCCTGTCTCCTGGCTGGACCTTCTGAGCGTTCCACCTGGCGTCCTGCATCTGTCTTGGTCTCTTTCCATCCTCCTACGTTTCAGAGGGCTTCTCATTCTTCCCTATGGCTGCCGATGCTATTTCCTGACTCACAAATACCTCCTTTCCCAACTCCAGATGCGGATTTGCCCAATTCTGCTAATTATCTCCAAAGTTGTTCAAATTTTTTTTGAACATACCCAACCATTTTATATAACCCAGCCACACCTTGCTTCCAAGGTCGCTGCCACAGAGAACACCAGTGTCCTTCTACTCGCCGATGGCAGCTCTCTTGGGACCCCATCACTAAGCCCCAGCACTTACAACCTGTAAAGGCCTCTTTATTTTGAGTCTGTACCCACAGCTTCTGATTCATGGAAACCCAGCCTTCACCAAGCCCTTCTCCACTCAGTTCTCTGCAGAGCAGCCAGGGTGATCTGGTTGAACTGGGGCTCCTGTGACAGTCACACCACTAACCTACTTTACAACCACCCATGGCTCCCTAGTGCCTTGAGAATAAAACTCCTCCATGCCGCCATTAAGTCCACGAAGCCGGACACTGCTTTCTTCCTTAGTGTCTCACCCCAGTCCTATTCCCAACCTGAATCTTCATCTGTCAGTACCTCCCCCATGGCTACATAGTCCTCCACTATAGATGACTTACCTTCCCCCTGGAGTACCTGTCTCCCTGCATCTAATCTCCAACTCCGGTCACTTCCTGCTGGAGGCCCTTCCTCACCTCCCAGGTTGGTACCCACATTCTCTTTTACACCCAGAGTCCTGCCTTCATCCCCAGTGCAGCATCTCACTGTAAGGCGGAGTGGAGTGAGCAATGAGGCCAAGGCAGGACGGCAGCTCAGAAGCTTAGCACTAGCCTCGCGCACACAAGTCCCTGGGTCTCAGTCCCAGTAGCTGGAAAAGCAGAAGTCAAAACAATCCTGAAGCTCCTTCCTTCCTGAAAATGGCAGAGGTTCTATCTCCTGTCCTCAAGGGCCATCTATGCTTAGTGGCTTGCCTACAAGGCGCATATGCCAGAAGGAGACTGCACATTCCATGGAACTGTAGCCGCTCCTATCCAGGATACTTGTGAACCCTTCTGAACTCAAAGAAAGGTGTAAGGCGACAGATGTGTGCATTGCCCGGGTTTCCATCATTATGTAAAGCACACTCCTGTCAAAGTATCTTATTACATGTAAATACGTCTTTCAAAAAGATAACTTAAAAAAAAAAAAACATGGCGGGAGCGATGCTGCCTAACGCTCAGACTCAGCTCCTATCTGCAACAAGGCTCTTAGCTGCCGTGCTGGGAGCTCACCAGAGCAGCCTCCAGAGAGCCAAGGAGAGCTCCATGCTGGAAGCTCACTAGAGCAGCCTCCACGTAGCAGGGTAGAGGGCTTTCCACAGCTGAATGATCATGAGCAGCCACCTTGGAAGTGGCTCAGGGGCACTCAATACACAATGAACACTGTAACAATGAATTGGGATACAATGATCAAGTGGATGAATGAAAAAACAAAGGAATGAATAGGGTAACTAGTCACAGCCCCATAATCTGAAACCAGGCGTACGAATGTACAACAGTCATTCTTTCTACTACACCCCCCACTCCAGGTCCCCCAAATTCATCCATAAATCCCACCACCTTGCCCTTACCAACATGTGCCCTGACGCTTCCAAAGGTGACACTAGGTAGTGGCTCTACCCACGCTGTGGAGGCCAAAGGCCGGGGTGCGGCCCACTTACCCGAGCGCAAAGACATCCGAGTGCTTGGAGAAGGGGAGCTTGTCCTCCTCTGTGTCAGGGGACAGCTGGCGGATGATCTCTGGGGCCAGGTGACACAGCCAGCCATTCTGGATACGCAGCTTATCTTCCCGTCTGCAGAGGCAAAGCCCGAGAGCCTTGTTTTGTAGCAGTGACCCCAGGTCCTGGAAACGCCTCTACCGGCTTCCTACCCCCTCCCTGGACATTGCCTGACCCTCCATATGAGGCTGAGAGCCAGACCGAGGTGCAGGGAAGGGAATGATGGAAAGCAGCCCAAGCCACCCTCGGGTCCACAGTCTCTGGGCCCTCTTGTGCATCTTTGCTGGATACTGTCCATTCCTGTTTTTACACGTTGCGCTCTGCAATCTAAGGTTGCCTCTAGAGGAACTGTGCTGGGTGGTTTTGTGTGTCAACTTGACACAAGCTAGAACCACCAGAGAGGAAGGAGCCTCAGTCGAGAAAATGCCTCCATGGGATTCAGCTGTAGGGCATTTTCTCATTTAGTGATCAGTGGGGGCGGGCCCAGGCCATGGTGAGTGGTGCCATCCTTAAGCTGCTGGTCCTAGGTACTGTAAGAAAGCAGGCTGAGAAAGACATGGGAACAAGCCTGTAAGTAGTTGTCTTCCAGGCCTGTGCATCAGCTCCTGCCTCCAGGCTCCTGCCCTGCTTGAGTTCCTGCCCTGACTTCCTTCAGTGATAAACAGTGATGTGGAAGTGTAAGCTAAATAAACCCTTTCCTCCCCAACTTGCTTTTTGGTCATGGTGTTTGATTGCAGCAAAAGAAACCCTAAGGCAGGAACTATGCAAGATCTCAAAGTCTAATACCTCAAGTCCCCTCAGATAGTTCATTCTAGTAGATTCCTGACACCAGATCTGCAATCGTGAACAAGACTGGCAGGGGAAAAAACCAACGAGGATGATGCGAACCACAGTGGCAAACATCACAAAGAATCACAACAGAGGCACGGGTCCAGGCTGAGCACACATCTGAGATAAGCTTTATGTGGCAGAGAACCCAGCCATGGGAACAAAAGAAATATCCTAGCCAGAGGGAAAGCTAGGTCAGAAACCCAGGGAGGTGACCTCAGGAGGATTCTAGAAACTGAGAGACGGCAGTGCACAGGAAGGCAACATGTACCCTGTGTTTGAACACGGATTCTTTCCCCCATTAGAAACAAGAGTGCGCTGAGTGTCTGTGGGTAAATGCTGTCACTGTAATTATGCAAATCTGCCACTCTCCAGGGTAAATGCCCAGAGGAGGAGGGAAGCAAGGTTGCTCCAACACCTTGCAGCAGATCAGAGTCTTGCACTGGGGACAGACGACTAAGTGGCCCTTGCATAAAGTTTTCTTTCTTTCTTTTTTTTTTGTATTTTTTTAATTAACAATCTTTTCTCATTTAACAAACCAATCCCAGTTCCCACTCCCTCCCCTCCTCCTGCTCCCTCCACCTTCCCTCCCTGCCCCACCCACTCTTCAGAGAGGGTCAGGCTTCCCATTGGGAGTCAACAAAGTCTGGCATATCAAGGACTACTAGAAGGGGCTGTTAGCCAAGGGGTGTGAGTAAGAGACAGGTTTTTCAAGACTGACAGCAGGAGGACCTACTGTCTCCAGACAATCCCTGGGGGAACTGGGCTGGCTGCATCCTACAGCTCTTCCAGGTGGGCTTCCCAGCTCTATGAGGGGTGTGTGCTGGTCCTTCCAGGGGTCTCAGTCAGACGCCCGCCCCCATCATGATTTCCCCCATGTCTGAACATCTTCAGGGACGGCGGTTTTCTATCTAGTCTCTCAAATGTGCCAGCCACCAATTTCTGTGACTGTCTCACTCTTTAAAGGTAGACACTATGACCAAAGGATGGATGGATAGAGAGAGAGAGAGATAGATAGATAGATAGATAGATAGATAGATAGATAGATAGATAGACAGAGACAGACAGACAGACAGACACATAGAGAGTTTGTGTGCTCCTAACATATGCCTAGAGGTCAGAGGACCATCTGCAGAAATTGGTTTCCTTCTACAACGTCCTGGGGACTGAACTTGGGTCTTCAGGCCACATTAACTTGCTCAGCCATCTCACCAGCCCCAAGGACTGAACTCTAAATTTAACTCCACTTTGATTTGTTTTAACTATATCTAGTCTCTCTCTCTCTGTCTCTCTCTCCCTCTCTCTCTCTCTCTCTCTCTCTCTCTCTCTCTCTCTCTGTCCACACACACACACACACACACACACACACACACACACACTCACACACACACTCACACACACATCCCACAGAACTCGTGTGGTGGGTTGGTCAGAGGATAACTTGAGGGAGCCATTATCTCCTCTAGCACGACAGCCACAGGGATCAAACTCAGGTCGTGAGGCTTGGTAGCAAGTGCACTGAGCCATCTCACAGACCCTGATTCCTCTTTAATTAAAGTTAACTCTGCATAGATACATCTGTCTGGCCAGTGGCCCAGATCTAGATAATGATTTACTAAAACCATATTTTTTTTAAAAAAAAAGAAACTTAAATATACTTTAATAAGTGACTTTTAGCACTGCTATAAATAGAAACGAGTATTTTTCCAATACACATTAAAATGAAGACAGACAGAGAGTGCTTGTCCATTCTCTCCTTAAAATCCACTCACAGCTTATACTCTCAGAAACCCGGGGCCTAAAGGAAAGAACTCTCAATGAGGTGGCAGGAGTTTGGGGGTGCAGGGTTCCACTGCTGATGCACTTCCTACGTGGGTGAAGGAAGCTAGAGCAACCCGGACTTGCAGTTCTTCAAGTCTCTCTTATTTTCCAGAGGGTACGCACCATCCGTCTGGATAAACACAGGTATTGAGAGATCCCTAGACAGGGGCCGAAGGGAGGAGACTGAGCTGGGGGAACACTGAGCTTCCGCCTGCTACTGTGTGTATGGGGGCTCTCCATGGCGTGCCTGTCCATCCAACATCGGGGCCATTCGTCCACTGCCTAGACTTCTACACCAGGAGCCAGACACAGTCAGTGACCACCGTGAAATCTACTCTAACTTGGGGCTTTCCATCCTCGGTGTTATGTTACTGTGGACATTACTGTCGGGTGGGGCTATTCTGTGTTTGTACCGTGTTTCGTGGCATCCCTGGCCTCTACACAACAGTTGCTGGGAACACACACACACACACATACATGCACATGCACACGCACGCACGCACGCACACACACACACATACACACCCTAGCTGTAGCTAGGAGGAATGCCTCCATACTCATGAGCAGGAAAAGTTCTTCATTTAATACACATTAGAGAAGAGAACAACCCAGATTCTGGGGTCGAGAATGTCTCCTCTACCGGGAATAAACAACTCTGCTGGTACACAGGGCCCAGACACTTTAGCAAACCCTGAGGTTGGCAGAGTTGAATGACATCTTTCTCCTGGGATCAAGAACACCCGCTGACATTTAAGGGTGTAAAGACTCATCTACTGCTTGTTAGCTGTGAGGCTTCAGGCACACTCTGGTCTCTATTTTTCCATCTGCCAAAAGGGCACATTCATTTATGTCTCAGATAGCTACGGCAACGTGAAAGTGTCTAGTTTAGGGCTATGTCTACTGCCAGGGCCGTATGACTACTGGCTAGGAATTATTTTACACTATATCCCACAGGCATATATGGTATCTGTTTATCTGGAGGCCTGAGGCCAAAAGTAGGAAAGTCTACTGCATAATAAGGAACTTATTCAGGGTTAGCCAAATTTTCCCAGACATGGCCACTCCTCACAGGGGCCGACAGGCTGGGAACCACTGGGACAGGGGAGGGTATGGCAGACACACAGTGCCATTAGCCCGGGGTTGGGGTAGGCACATGCCTGGGAGAGGGTTATAAGTTGGCCCTGGTGCATACACCCCAGGATGTCCCGTTCCCATGACAACGGGCCCACCAATGACGAGTCCGAATCATCCTCATTATGGTTATTATTATGATTAATAACAGGTTGTGTGGGGCTGGCACGGTAGGGCTGGCATCTTAAATGACACTTTGTCGTGAGGGTGGCAGAGCAGCTGTTTGTGGGATCTCGACGGCTACCTCTTCGCTTCCAGTCCAGTGGCGTGTTCCGGGAAACAGCAGCCTTGGGGAGTCTGACATCTTGGGACTGTTATTTGAAGGATGTTGCTTCCCTGTATGCAGGCCCGTTACCACGGCTCCACCCACTCTACAGGATCAGGCACACGCTCAGTGAGCTCGGTCCCTACCATCTATCTTGCAGAGTTATAGACTGGGATTGTCCCCCAGACTCTCATACTAAAATTTGAATTCTCAATGTGACCGTCACTAAAGGCAGGACTTGTGGGCTCAAGATTTAGTTTATATGACATAGAAGCAGAAGGAGGGACTACTGGGGAGAGAGAATGGGCCAGAAAGAAGGGAGACACAAAAAGAAGACAGAAGGCAGCTAACTGTGAGCAAAGGTGTGTAAATACCATAGCAGAAACCATCGTTTGGTACAATGAATATATGCCAGTAATCTATTCTGTCTTACGTGCTAATTTTTAAACTTTCAAGATTACATTTATTAATTTATTTATGGGAGTGTGTGTGTGTGTGTGTGTGTGTGTAGGTCAGTTGGTTCTCTCTTTCTACCATGTGGATCCCAGGGACTAAACTCAGGCCATTAGGCTTGGCCATCTTACTAGCATGTATACATACATAGACAGACACACGCATACATGCACGCACACACACTACATGACAGCTTTACATATATTTACATATATAATAAAATAGTATATATACATATATAATAAAACTATATACATATATATATATATGATAAAGATGGGGGTTTTAGAGAGATAATTGAGATTAAACAAGGCCTAAATCCATGGCCCTAAGCAACAGAACTGTCATACTTAGAAATTGGTGGTTTGAATAAGAATGGCCTCCAGAGACTCATATATCTGAAAGTCTAGTCACTAGGGAGTGGAACTATTTAAAGGACTAGAAGGATTAGGAGGTGTGGCCTTGTTAGAGAAAGTGTGTCACTGGGGGTGGACTTTGAGGTTTCCAGAGCTCACACCGGACTCAATGTCCCGCTGCAGGCAGCTGTAGGTCAGGATGTAGCTCAGCTACTTCTCCAGTGCCACGGGCACCACCATGCTCCCTGCCATGACGATAAAAGACGAAGCCTCTGAAACAGTAAGCGAGCCCTCAACCAAATGCTCTCTTTTGTAAGAGTCACCTGGATCATGGTGTCTCATCACAGCCGTAGAACGGCGACTAAGACAGAAGTTGGTACCAGGGACTGTGGTTTTGCTGTGGCAGGCCTGACCGTGCTGTGCGTTGGAGGAACATGGAGGACTTTGGAACTAGAAGAGTGGTTGGGCATGGTAAGCGGGGCTCATGAGCCATCTAGTGGGAGCATGGAAGGCCGTGCTGAGGGCGGTCCGACCTGTGGGAGCCCAGCTCAAGGCGTTCCGGAGGGGAAGGATACCAGCAACTGGATTTGAGACTATCGTTGTGACAGTCTGGCAAAGCATGTGATTACTCTTAGTCCCTCTCCTAAAAATCTGCCTGGGGCTAAATCGAAGAGTTTGGGTTAATAGCCTACAGAAATCTAGCAGCTCTGCAATGAAAAGGAGCGAGCTGGGCAGGGAGAAACATAAGTGGGCAGTCTGGGGAGAAAAGGAGCACCAGGCAGTGTATGCAGCCAAGTCCTGCAGTCAAAGAGATAGAAGATTTAAAGAAGGGTGGTTACCTCAGGGTGAGACCCTACTTCACATTCCTCAGAAAATGGCACTGATTTCTGTCCTGGTCAAGTTTACTATGACTGTGATGGAAAGCCATGACCAAAAGCAACTTGGTGGGGGAAAGAGTTCACTTATACTTCCTGTCACTTCATCATCAAAGGAAGTCAGGACAGGAACTCAGACAGGGCAGGAACCTGGAGGCAGGAGCTGATGCAGAGGCCATGGAGGGTGCTGCTCACTGGCTTGTTCCCAAGGCCTGCTCAGCCTGCTTTTTTAAAGAGCCCAGCACCACCAGTCCAGGGATGGCCCCACGAACAGTGGCTGGGCCCTCCCCCAACAATCACTAATTAAGAAAATACCCTACAGGTGTGCCTAGAGCCCATCTTATGGGGACATTTTCTCAGCTGAGGCTCCCTTCTCTCTGATGAATCCAGCTGTATCAAGCAGACACAGAACAAGCCAGCACAGAAACGGGCCAGACGTGAGAATTTTGTCTCTTCTCTTTCTCCACTCCTTCATTCTCTCCTCCCAGCTATTCTCTTCCCCTCCCCATCTACCTGAGCGATCATGCAAGGACATAGTTAGAAGGGGGTCATCTATAAGCCTGGAACAAAACTCTCTGCAGAAACGGTCAGTTGGGCCTTGACCTTGAAGCCCCAGAACGAGATAAAATATCACTGGTGTGCTGCATCAGCACCCCACACCCCGCTACCTTGCTATAGTAGCCCCAGTTGGTGACTGCCCTATGAATCTCTCAGTGGCCCTGTGTTGCCGGGCTGGATGGAGGCACAGACTTGGGAACTTAGGCCTCACTCCTGAGAAGGATGTGTTGCTGCCTGTAAGTTCGACTCCCTGGCCTCAGCTCCCATCTTTCACTCCCGGGCTGCTAAGCAGGGCCCCAAATACTCCTTGTTCGATGGTGTCACTGTCTCCACCTTCTTACTCTTGGTTGGCATTATTCCCGAGACCTTACTATCTCCCGGGACACTAGGTAGACATTTGCTGACAGCCAGGATGGGGCAGAGATGGGAGAGGATGTTGTCGAACAATGTAAGAAGCCATCTTGTCTCTGAATTGACTTGATTTCCTTTCTGGTTGGTGAATACTGGGTCTCCAGGAGGAATGGAAGGAAAGAGCATTCAAGCCTCCACTTCTCCTTCCTTGCCTTGGCACTGGGGCCTCAGTAATACAACAGAGTAAGGAATATAGTCACAGACTCCTGCCCCTGCCTTTTACAGCGAGGACAGCCAGTGGGTATAGATAGGTGTCATGTTTTAATTGTAAAGTGGTCCCCAAAGGCTCACTTGGAGACTCAGTCCCCAGCTGGAGGTCCTGTTCTGGGAGGTTCAGCTAGACAGAGCATAGCTGGAGGAAGTCAGTCACAGGGTGGTGTGAGTCTCTAAGGGTGTCTCATCCCTGGCTACTTCGCGTCTCTCACTATCCACTTCCTGTCAGCATTGAAGTGAAGAAGTTCCTCTTCCACATGGGCCCTGCTTCCATGTGGAATCAAGAAGCCATGCTGAATCCAAGAATCCATGAGCCATGCTAAATCTTTCCTCCCTCAAGCTGTGAGTGTATGCTTGGTATTTTGTTCACCATGAGGAACTCACTAACATTGCTGGTCACCAGGAGGGAGAGATTTCTGACCAGCCCAAAATCAAGTTAAAGTTAATACGCACTCAGCCTCCATGAGGCCCATGTCAACACGTGGGTTCGCGGTGACATCACCAATTGTGTCCCTAAGCCTGCTCTGACCCCAGGGTCCTGGCAAACAAGGTGAATGTGATTCTCTATGGCAAGCCAGGGACCTTGGGACTGCTGTGGGATGGAGCAAGGAAGGAGTCCTACCCAGTCTTGATCCCCTAGCTCCTCCACGGACTCGCACTCTCCTTGTGTCTATTGATCTATTTGTTTGCTTGCCTCGACTTATCTTAATGCCACAGATAGCTCTAGAAACTGGGGGCATCCGGTTTGGATGGGGGGGATGGCACCTGAAGACAGAAACCAAGGCTGCTCAGAAACAGCTTACGCCATGCTTTGTTGAGTTTCAAGCACCCTGACTCAAATTCAAAGGTAGCTCACAGCAGGGATTAAGTCCTTCAGGAAGACAGGAGGATGTCCCTCAAGGAAATCAGTGGCTCCTCAGCATGGCAGAAACTTAAACACAGAGAAGTCACAGTCTCCCCGTGAGAGAGGCCATGCAGGGGTTTAAGATATGTGTGCCACGTGTGTGTACACAGCACACACTCCAAATTAAAATCCGCGAGAGCAGACCTTCCGAAGTCATAGACTGTTTACTTGGGATCAAGCTGTTTCTCGCATGGCTGACTCAACGCGGCTGGCTCCAGGGTGAGAGGCCTCTGAGAGTTAATTACTTAAAGATGGTTAATCGTTCCCTGGGTGATCCTGGGGAGGTATATGCAAATGAGTGCTAATTACAACACAGCAGTCCAGCTATTTGCCCCGCCTCTGAGGCCTCTCAGGGTCCTGTACTGGATGCTTATGCTGTATCCTCACAGTTCATCTTCACAAGGACCCTCCAAGCGAGGCGTTTTCAAACACAAAAACTCAAGTTCAGAGGTACTGCTTATCTTGGTCCCAGGCACTGTTAAGAATGGGCGGACCCCCACGCGGCCCAGGTAGTCGGACCGAAAAGCACTTACTCTCAGCTGTGTTTGGTTGCTAGGCTAAAAGTCAGGGCTTAGCTGACCCCATTCCCTAGGGAAGCCCCATAGGCAAGGAGGAGAGTCCTCCAGCCCAGGGCAGGAGCTTGTGAGATTCAGGGATGTGTTAGATCTTATGCCACAAACTCAAAGGTGTCACTTTCAGGCCAAGCGAGAAAGACACTAAGGGCATGGGAATAAGTGTGACTTGGGTGACCCCCTGCTAGCATGGCAGCCTAGCCACAATCTTAACACCTGCGAGCTCACAGATATAAGCCCTCGGACAAGTCACTCAAGACATTTGGGATGAGCTCCTACCCCTTGACGGTCACTTATCAAGAATCCCTCTGGTTCCCTCTGTCACCTCTTACCTGCCAGCCTGCAGTACCCCAGAGATGCTGAAGAGCCCAAAGTCCGTGATGACCACTTTACCGTTGTCATAGAAAACATTCTTTGATTTGAGGTCCTTGTGAAGGATTCCCTTGGCATGCAGGTAGCCCATGCCCTGTAAGAGATGAGGAGATGGGGACGCATTAGAGGCAACCCAGCTCTTCCTTTGTCACCCTTTCATCCTCAAGAGTGGCAGAGTACCGGGCCCCCCCATTGAGCTCAGGGTACCAGGGCTCTGTGAGTCACAAGGCCACCATCACCCACAGACCTCTGCAGAGCCATCTCCACAGGACCACTCTGCTTCCTGAAGAATAAGGGGAGTGCTCCGGGGGAAAGAGTGGGGACACCAGAGAAAGGAATCCACCAGCCATCTCCCCTCATTTCTCTTATGGAGGGGCCTCGCTGTCTCTGTTACCCGGCCCACCACCCTGTAGAAGGACCTGAGATACTTAGGAGACCTTTCACGACCCCACACCAAGAGCACCCAGGGACATCCACCAGCGATTCAGAGGTGGTTTTCACTTCGTTTGGCCTTGGTGAGTGATCGCCGTCTTTATTTACTCCTACGGATCCCTCCTACCACTTCTGATTGGAACTGAAGCCTGAGTACGGCCCACCAATGAGGCACCTGTCGGGACACTCAGGACGTCTTCATCTAAGACAACACACAACAGCTCCACGTCTCCCGGGCAGCGGAGAGACAAGATGACAAGGGAATTCCAGGACTCGAGTATGCCGGTTCCTAATGGTGATGATTTGACTCTTAAATACCCCACATCGGTGTATATTTTGAATGTTTGGTACCTAGTCGGTGGTACTGCTTTAGAAGGTCTTAAGGAGTGGAGACTACAGGATGAAGTAGGTCACTGGGGGCAGGCCTTTGGGGGAATGTTAGCCCCGGCCATTTCTTGTCTCACTTTTTGCCTCCTGGTCTACTGAGATGAGAACCATCTCTGACCCAGACTCCTGTTGTCAGGAACTGGGCTGCTGTGCCCCAGCTTCCCTCCCTTCAGCGGCTTCTAGCAGAGTGACCCAGAAGTTTCTGATACACTATCCAAGAGAACAGAGTGGCTTTCTGTACCCACTGGCCCCTGCCTGTACCCAGGTATGATGACCATGAAGTGCCAGCCCGAAAACAGAGTTTGAGGCGGTAATTCTCAGGGCTGCATCGTGACAGATTCATTGTACATACCACCTGGTAGTTTTGAGGCTAAATCTAATGTCTTTAAGGTCCAGACTAGTGGTCTAAACCCAGATCCTGGGTCTTAGGATCCTTTGACAGGACTTCCAGAGGAGGCTGGGTCTTTGCGAGGTCCAGGCTGGGGTCCCAGAACTCATAGTACCTTCACAATTTCCTGTGCGATCTGCCTGGTTTTGTTGACATCCAGGACAATCTTGGCGTCCCTCACCACAGAGTAGAGAGTCCGACCCTTACAGAGGCTGCAAGGCAAAAGAAACAAGGTCACTCAGGGAAATGACTGGCAGTGGGGAGGAAGGTGGCCCACAACAGTCATCAGAGTCATGAAGAACTGAGAGGACATGTCACCATGACACCCATGTGACATTAATAGGCCTTGCATCAAACCCCAGAGCTGGTTCTGGGTGACAGGCTGCAAAGAGGCCTTTGTAGATTCTCTAAGAAGATCAGATACTTCCTGCCATGTAGACACCTGCAGATCCAGCCAGGTCCAGAGCGGTCTGTGGTCCTGTCAAGGAGAGTGGCCCCTCATAGATTTGAATGCTTAGTCACCCGAAAGCCTTAGAGGGATGAGGAGGTGTGGCCTTGTAGGAGGAAGTCTCTCACTGGAGGTGGGCTTTGAGGTTTCAAAAGCTGCTGACAGGCCCAGCGCCCCCCCAACCGCCCCAGCCCCTCTCTGCCCATGGATCAGGGTGTAGTTCTCAGCTGCCACGCCAGCGCGTGCCTGCATGCTGTCATGCTTTCCTCCGTGATGACAATAACTGAACCCCTGAAACCGCAAACACGCCCCCAGTTAAAGGCGTTCTCTCGTGATAACTGCCTGGGTCATGGTGTCGCTTCACAGAGACAGCGGTGGGTAAGACAGTGGGCCCTGCCATGTCCCTCAGCACAGGGTCTCTCTCTCTCTCCCCGTGTGTGTGTGTGTGTGTGTGTGTGTGTGTGTGTGTGTGTGCACATGCACATGAAGGCGAGACGACAACTTTGGCCGTCATTCCTCAGGTGCCGCCCACTTTGTTTTTGTTTTTGCTGTTGTTGTTGAGATAGGATCTCACTATGTTGAGACTCACTAAGTAGATTAGACTGACTGATTGGTGAGTCCCTAATGCTGAAATTACACACATCTTTTTTTTTTTTTTTTAACATGGTTCTAGGAGGTTGAACTCAGGCCTTCAAGCGTCTAAGGCTGGCACTGAAACAAATGAGTGACAGCTCTGTGTCCCTCGCCCTTCCGGAGAGAGACTGTCACCACATAGCTCAGGCTATCCTGGAACTCACTACGTAGCACAGGCTAGCCTTGCTTGCGTCCTCCCGCTCAGCCTCCTAGCTGCTGGGACTACAGGCCTGTGCCATTGTGCCTGGCTCCAATCCAGCGTCTCAAAGGAGAACTGTCACAAATCAATAACTTCTGGGCCCTCAGACACCACTGAGATGGCACTGTCTGCCATCTGTCCCAGACAGGAGTCTCTGGGTGGGGACAGGAATGAGGGAACTGTAAAACCAGGGCTGCGGTGCATTGAGCAGCAGGCAAATGGCCCATTCAGTCTTTTCACTGGGGGGCGTGTCAAGAGAACAAAGCCACCCAATCAGGCACCTGTCTGGATGGAGGGTGCTCAACCCATTTGTGACCTCATTGAGTTTACTTCAAGGACTGGTAGTTTAAGATGAATGATGGGAGGGAAGGACACTGTGCGGCTGGGGGCTGGGGGGTAGAGGGGTGGGGGGAGCGCAACACCTTTTCGCTCTGCAGCCTGCCTGCTTCTCAACCTTCCTGGCGAGCTAGCTCTCCTGACATACACAGAACAGGTGCTGTGAAGAATCCCCAAGGGAATGAATGAGTGAAGTGAATGAATGAATGAGTTAATTCTGTAGTCACTAGAGCATCCCCAGTCCCCAGAAGGCAGGACTGCCTAAAAGAAGTATGGAAGTCATTATGATAATTAATTTTCCATCTCTATAAAATTAACAGCTTGGATGCATTTCTTTTAATTTGTAGCTTTATTGCTGAAGTGCTCCGGGCATGATTTTCCTCCTCTGGTGTTCGCTCAGCCTTTGTTTCAGGCTGGGCTTGTGTTCCTGGGGTCGAAGTGTGAGTGCTGGTATCAGAGGACCCCAGTTCAAATCCCGGCTCTGAGTCTTGCTTACTTTAACATCTTGGGAAGGGTTACTCAGTCTCTTGGGCCTGGAGCTTCCTTATGGATCAGAACAAACCTACATTGTACATTAAAATACAGACTGAACACGGTAAGAGCCCATCTTAGTGTCTGGCATCTGGAGGGAAGGCCAGCCCCACTGGTTAGGGGAAAGAGTCAGAACCTGTGGAATGAGGCTCCCGATCCGGCACATAGCAGCCATACGACCCTGAGTACTCCTGACACACATGTTAGCTTCTGCTTCATAAAATGGGGGTGACCCTTCCTGCCTCCCCAGAACTCAGGCATTTAAAAATGCAGGCACCATCCCACACAGCGCAGAGTAGGTCCTCACAGCCCTTGCAATCAATAAAATGGTGAACACGCACATACGCCAATGGAGAAATGACGTATTTATCTGTGTATCACTTCTGCCTGCCCACCTGCCTACCAACCATTCTCTCTAGTGTGTCCATCTGTCCGTCCATCCGTCCGTCCATCCATCCATCCATCCATCCATCCATGCATCCATGCATCCATCCATTCATCCATCCATCCACCATCTGGCTGCCTAGAGCCATGATCTTCGACGAAGCTTTGTTTCTTCACCTGCACAGGGCGAGGTTCCCAGAGCAGCTGACTCACAGGAGGTTGACTCACTCCTCCAAGATCACCGGGCGGGCGCATGGGCAGGAGGCAGTCTAAGATGACTCAAGGCTGCCCCCTCTTTGCGGCACAGCGGCGAGTTTGCCCAGCCTCTGTAGTAGAGGTGGAGGAAGGGCGGGTGGAGCAGACAATTTTGCTCTGTTGACATTTAAGAATCAGAGATGGAAGACTGTGGGTGGATTCTCTCCCCTGGATAACTCGCTCTTGAGTGGCCACCTACACCCATTACAGACCACAGCTCTCCCTGCTGCACACAGAAGAGCAAATGACCAGGCTCCAAGACTGCCAGCATCTACGGCTCGGGGTGACCATGCGAAACCCCCATCTTTGTTCATACGCCTTCTTGGCCGCCATGGACAGTGTCTGTACCCCGTCTTTTCACGTTATATAGGGTTGCTGACCAAGTAGCATTCCTGACCAGAGTAGACACTGGTGTAGCCATGACTTGGATCATCTGCAAATGCCAAATACGCAGATAATGCCTGGATACATGCCCAGCAGACACACATATCCACCTTTACCCTCAAACTATAACCTCATAGAATTCTATGACTGGGAACAATCTATAAGTCTCTATCCGGTTCTTTTTTTTAATATTTATTTATTTATTATGTATACAATATTCTGTCTGCGTGTATGTCTGCAGGCCAGAAGAGGGCGCCAGACCTCATTACAGATGGTTGTGAGCCACCATGTGGTTGCTGGGAATTGAACTCAGGACCTTTGGAAGAGCAGGCAGTGCTCTTAACCACTGAGCTATCTCTCCAGCCCCCTCTATCCGGTTCTTACACTGACGTTCTTGACCCCAAATGTGATGGCAGGGAGAGGCGTCCGCCAACAGAGGTGACTGGATGATGACAGGACCCTAAGAGAAGTTCCCCCAGAGAGTCATTTAGTCTGTGCACAAACACAGTGTGAAGGTGGCCGTCGGCAACATGAGGAGTCCTTGCCAAAGCTGCCTTGTGCTGGCCTCTTAGTCTCAGCCTTGAGCCCCCAGACAGGCGACAAAGTTTCTGATCATTATAAGCCACCTGGTCTGTGGCACTTTGTTACAGCAGCGGGGAGCTAAAAAACAACCTGTGTTCATTAACAGAAACCGGGGACACTATGAATAAAGCCACATGACAAAATATTGTCACACCGCACTGTGTAAAATAAGTGGCACTCTGCTGACCGCATAAGGCAGGATGAGACTCACAGGTGGGAGCTGGTCTCTTGGGATTGCTGGAAGAGTCTATCACGGGCCTGTATGCTAGAAGCCAGCAGCAGTGCCTCTGTGTCTGTCTCTGGGTGTGTCTCTGTGTGTGTTTGTCTGTCTCTCTGTCTGTGCACGCCCTCCTCTCGTGTGTGTGTGTGTGTGTGTGTGTCTGGGTGTGCTTGTCTGTCTCTATGTCTGTGCACCCCCCCCCCTCGTATGTGTGGTCAGTGTCTGTGTATGTCTGTGTGTGAGAAGAGGTGCACTGGGAGGAAGAACGCCTGAGGTTTGGGTTACTCTCCATGTTTGCATCTAGGAGCTGATGACACAGATGGCCGCTGTGTCCTGCCCCGATGAGATGGATCCATTTATGGGTATGTCATCATTTGAAAAAAAAAAAACTTAAAAAATATGGGAAACGGGGAGATGGCTAAGTAGGTAAAATGCTTGCCTTGTAAACTCAAGGACCCAAGCTTGATTCCCAGAACCCACACGTGTAATCCCAGCGCTAGGGAGGCAGAGACAGGTAGGCTCCTGAGCGTGTTGACCAGAGAGCCTAGCTTAATGGAAGAGGCCCAAGCCAGAGAGAGACCCTATCTCAGAAGAACCAAGGTGGACATCTCCTATCAAAACTGACTTCTGGGATGGATGAGGTGAGAAAATTCAGCTGGCTCTGAGGCCCCAACAGCTGCTTCTGGGGTAGAGGAGAGGGAGGGGGGATGGGGAGGATGGGAGGGAGAAGGCGTGCATTTGCTGAGTGCTGGGAAGTGTGTGACCTCCATGAGTCCTCCCTGCCCCGCAAGGTCTGTCTGTGTCACCTTCCTGTTTTACAGGACCAGACACTGAGATGCAGGGTGGGAGGACAAACTCACACAGCCATGATGTCAACATGCACATAGGAAAGACCAACTCACATACACAGCCGTGAGGTCAACATGCACATAGGAAAGACCAACTCACATACACAGCCGTGAGGTCAACATGCACATAGGAGAGACTAACTCACACACACACAGCTGGGAGGTCAACATGCACATAGGAGAGACTAACTCACACACACAGCCGTGAGGTCAACACACACATAGGAAAGACCAACTCACACACACAGTCGTGTTGTCAACACGCACATAGGAGAGACCAACCCACACTCACAGCCGTGAGGTCAACACACACATAGCTTCTCCCAGTTGTTCTCCCACTGAGTGAGCACACAGCCATGGAAATGCTTCTCAGTCATTAGAAGGGCGGGGCA